CGTGAATATTTTTCTGAATGATTCCTAGGCATAAGGGCGAGTTTTGAACACTGTTGGGTCATTTTTAATGTTTTCATCACTGCCTGTCATTTCAGAATGTGTCATTTTTGAGTCTTCCAAGAAGTATCTGTTCCAGTTAGCAATCGGAAGTGTGAAAAATAAACATGCAAGGTTTAATTTTCTGGGAGTCTCATGCAATTAGTTGTCCAAGGATTATTTTTCTTAATTCCCATGATTAGATGTTTGTGGTGTGTCACCTGATATTAGTATCACCAGCAATGACTTTCAATTTCTTTTAGAACATCCCTGGAAAGTTAAAATAATAGAAAAAATTCAAAGATATTGTGTGTATGTTTTCCATATGAATATTCAAAGCATCTTATGTATGGATGCTTCTCTTCTGTATATTTTGTTTGTATATTAATATGAATGCATGTGTTTACACTTCCATGAAATCTTACTTGCATAATTAATTTGAATTTTAATCTTAACAAATGCATCATTTTGTATAAATAAGATTTTGCTTATTTCATTTCTGACAATTCATTTGCTCTCCTTAATTAGAGAAAAATGAAATATTCTCTCATAGCTAGATAACATTTGGAAACATAATCCAAATCTTCCTGTAGTCACATGAATAATAAGTGTCCTGTGGAAGTAACTGCTTTGAGGAGGTTGCCTTTGAAATGTAACAGTGGAATCATTGTAAGCTTAAAAAAGTGATGCTTGCCTTCCAGGAGGACAAGTATCCAGTAAATCTATAGATATTCAGCCACAAATAGTCAGGGTAGAACTAGAACACAGCCTTGATCTATGCAAATAAAATGGGCATTTTTGTTCTTTTCCCCTACTCTGCTTTCTTGTTCTGGTTCTGATGTTAGTACTGTGATAAAAACTGGAAGGAACTTGTATTACTGACATAGAGGCCAAAAGTTGCCTTTAAGATACACTTAGTGGCACACAATATGACCAACTAAGTGAGGCTGAGAGAGAGAAGCTAAGCAAATGTATGGAGTTAGATGTTTGAGTCTCCATGTTTACTTTCTCTTTCTCTTGGTCCTTTGGTTCTTTGGCTTTGCCTCTAGACTATGGATTTTATCTCTTGATGCATTCTTTTATGACCATACATTTTTGGACCAACCCTAGAGTTATATTACTGACCAAGACTTAATTTCTGTCTAATTACATTACAGTCATTAGTGACTAATGCTATAGTTCAGAATAAATAATTTGACCTGTAAATAATTCCTCACTATGCCCTTAAAAACTGAAATAGATCAATATAGAAAATCTTTCTATAGATCAGTAGATCAATAGAATAGATCAATAGAAAATCTTTACCTCTTGACTGCTTTTCTCAGCGTAAAAGTGGCCATTGTTTAACCTAGAATCTGCATTTTCTGTGGCATATAGGACAGAACAACTTGCTCCTGCTGCTTATTATTAAGGAGAAAATCTGCTGCTTTTATCTGCTGTAGTTGGTTTATTCTTGCACAATGCACTTCTTTTTAGGAAATGAGCTCCTGTGTTTGGCTTAATACCACCTTAGACATCTCATCAGGTACTTCTACTCAGTTCTAGCGCCCTTGGCTCACTTGGAATCTTTTGCCTCTGTCATGGGGGACAATGGACTTCATATGCCCTTTGCTTTGTGTCCTTGTTAGACTTTGGTTCCTGCTTTGATTCTATCTGGTTAGTGGGGTGACACACAGGCTACCAGAAAATTAATGCCAAGTTGTATTTGTTATGGATCAACTGAGATTCCTCTTCTTGATAGAAACATACATGTCTCTAAAGTAGCATTTTGCCAACTGTCCCATGAAACAGATTCATTCATTTGTGTTCTAGGATGGAAAGGATTCTCTGGTCAATTGGTTTAGCAAATAAATCATAACTCCCTTGTGGGGTCTCCCAATAAATAATAATACTAATATTATACTTTGAGAAGTCTTGCAGAATTGAAACCTGTTAGATGACTTCTGTTTATTTTCATTCTTTTTGAATTTTAGATCTTTCTCCTCATCACCATCCCTTACACCTTCTTTCCCCCTACCCCCTCCCTATTAACCTGAGAAATGTCATTTGTTATTGTCCTCTAGTCTTTATAGGTGTTTTGCGTTGTTAAATCATCCACTGTGTAAATGTCCAATAACTGACTTGTTTTACTACATGTAATTCCCTTGACCTTCCTCCCTTTTGCTGTAAAAGGCAACATTTTTTCTCTCCTTATTCCTGGGTAATATTCCATTGTGTGGATATGCCACATCTTCAAGATCCAATCCTCTATCAAGAGGCATTTAAGTTGTTTCCATTTCCCTTGATAAACATCAGTTATGCCATATAAGACAGATCACACATTGTTTATGAATTTTTTCTTCAATTCTCATCTTAAAGTAAACCCAACTAAATCTCCTTTTGCACTTGAGTTACATGAAATCTAATGGTAATGTCTCATTAGGTATGTTTAAAATTTTTTTTTCAATAATAGAATAAATCACATATGCAAAAGGAAAGGAAAATTGGTGACCTTGGTTATAACAAAATTTAACCAGAAAAGTAAAATCATTAATTATTTCATGCTTATTGAGTAGTTAGATGAAAGTTGTGCCCTCTAAAAAAATGAATTAAATAATTGATTTTTTGATATGTCAGATTTAACGTTTCCATAAGAATCATTTTTTATCTTTACTTATTTAATAACAATAAGGAAATCCTCTTTAACCTGCCAGCACTTTCTGAAAGCTTTCTTTTCTGTAATACCCCAAACACATTTGCTGTTTACAACAGGGAAACCAGTTAACCATGAAATTTTCTCATTAATTTTCTTTTTTAGGCCTTTGGTCTGGCCATATTTGGAGAAGTTGATTTCCCTCAACATTTAGTCTAGCTTTGCAATTTGGAGAAGTGAAGTTTTGCTTAAACAATCATATTTCTTTGTCCTGTTCTGGTTGACTGATCACTCTTGTTACTGAAGAGGAACAGTAGTTTTGCCTCAAGTTTTGCCTCACAAAGCAGGAAAGGAAGGCAACAAAAAGGATATTCCAGCTGTAATAACAAACCTGTGGTTTCACCTTGGAGGGAGAAATATTGGCTTGCTGCCCTGTTTCACACTTGCATTCCCTTCAGGCCTGGTTCAACTTTAATAGTGAGGTGAGTTAGGCTAGTCAGGGCAACAGTCTCTTGTCTGCCCTTTGCGGGTAGTTCTGGGCCAACTGCATAGGTGAGGTGATGGCCTGCTGTGGAGAGCAGCTGCCCCAAGGTCTGCCACAGAGTGAGCTTTAGTTTATGTGCTGCTTGGGGAAAAAAAAAGAAGGAAAAGAGTCTCTTGTTTTTAAGAACTTATTTAACACTGTTTATTAAATGCAAAGTACTAAGCAGCTGGTACTGTGATGCTTATGTTTTAAAAATTGCCAAGGAAGGGAAGTTACAGGAGTTGGAGGGAAATATCTGCTCTTACAATGTATATTGGATTGGCAGTCCTTTGCCAGCATGAATAATTAAGGACAACAACCTACCTATTCGCACCTCAACCTCACTTTTATCAGTCAGTTTAAAACTCATTTTCCTGTCTCTTCTTCTAATAGCTCTTGAGATTTGGCCTAGTTTTGTCAATAGCAATTTTAGATTTATAGTGAGAAAAGTTGATACGTGTGATTTAGCCATTTTTCCCATGACTAATTTCTAAAGCCATCACACATCGAGAGAGTAATGGCTCTATTTCATTTAAACAGTGGCTTCTTATATCTGGAGTGAATTCAGGTGAAGATCTGAACCAAGAAAGCACTTGAGCCCCAGTTGTCTTATATGTCACAGAATCAAAGAGCAGCTGCAGAAACATGGAAACAGGATAGCCTCTCCAATCGTGTGCTGTCAATATTTCAGCTTTCTCTCTATCTCATTTTATAGTCCTCCTCCTGCCTGGTATGTTTGCTTAGGCATTCTCTAATTCTGCCTCTTTTAGCCACTTATGCTTACGTGGGAAACTATTATTTAATTTGAATTGAATTGATTTCAGCAGATTATTATTTAGTTACCCAAGTAAAATCCCACTTAAACACTGTCATTTCTAGAGTGCTTCATTGTGAACATTAAATGATAATGAATATACTTTCTACTACTTGGGTCTGTTGATGAATAGAGTAATTGTCCAGCTTTTCTATGTTAGTGAATAAGCAAATATAAAATTCTTTTGAAACTCTTAAGATTCCCCATTAGCACATCTGGTGTCTTTGTATTAGAAAGAAAAATGCCCCCTTTGGGCAGAGAGGTTGCAAAAGGTCTTCATCCTGGGCAGAGCCAATAAAAAAATGGTGTCCCTTCTCAGGGGAAGGTGTCCCTTTGGCTGGTGGAGCGGGAGCTGGTACAGGCCCCATCCACTTTCAGCCCTGACCTTCTGCAGCCCTGATCTGCTTAGCTGTTGTGGCCACCCTGTGTCATGGACAGGAAGGCAGGGAACAATATTCTATTCTGCTTCCACCCTTTCTTTTCCCCAAGGCCAGAGGTTTCCTTTTTTTTTTTTTGTTTGTTTGCTTGATGGCAGTTAATCCATTTTAAAGGTAATGATATCTGAGAGAGAGGATCAGAGAATTACTATTTAATTTTAGGTTAAGCAAAGCAAAATAACCTTCGGGATAATTCAATACAACTTTCCTGTTCCAACATGAATGAATGTTGAATGAATGAATGTTACTAAGTATGTCCATTGCCTGTACAGTCATCTAAACAATCACTTGGAAAAGTGAGTCTACATTTTAAAGAACTTATTGTAACTATGATCAAAAGGCTGCATCTGTGACCAAGCATATAGATGTATAGAAAATGGAACTTTCCTGGTGTGTGTTTTTTCTAATAGTAATAAAATTAGTAACCACTACATTTTCAGCTTCAAAGAACCAGAAGCTGCTACCTCATCATGTGAAAAACTATTACTTGCCTCCTCCCTCCAGCCATGAACAGGAAAGGTGGAGTAATAAAACAGGGTGTTTTTCCTCTTATTCCAGGTGATGTAGTCCACATCACTGCTCCCAACAAATTCACCTTTGAGGAGGCTGAAGAGGCGTGTGAAAACCAGGATGGCCGGCTGGCGACGGTGGGCGAGCTGCACGCGGCCTGGAGGAATGGCTATGACCAGTGTAACTACGGGTGGCTGTCAGACGCCAGCGTTCGCCACCCTGTGACTGTGGCCAGGGCCCAGTGTGGAGGTGGTTTACTTGGGGTGAGAACCCTGTATCGTTTTGAGAACCAGACAGGCTTCCCTCCCCCTGATAGCAGATTTGATGCCTACTGCTTTAAAAGTAAGTGTTTGATTCCTTTTTAAAAATTGCAGATTAAAAAAAAAGTACTTCGAAGGCATGCATTGATGTTCAACTAGCTGTTGGAATGGATTCTGTGTCTTGCAGTGTGTGCACGGAATGGAAAAAGTTCAGTAACTTTTAAAAGCAAGTTAACAGAATAACAGGGAGATGGTTCAAATTACAGGGAGTTTGGCAAATGGTTTTTTCAGAAGAGGTAAGGAAATGTCAGGTTAAAGTTTTAGGCCCGCTGCACCTAGAACCACAGAACATAGTTCCAAGTAGCTATATTATATTAACTGCAGTCCTTCAAAGTAATTAGATTGGTGTTGCCATAATACCAGGGCTGCTGTGACTGAGTTAAATTCCTGCATTCTGTTTATTTCATCTTCATTTGGTATTATTTTCTTTGAAATGGTGGAGAACTTCAATTTCAAGAGTTGCAGGTGAGTACTTGGAGCTGACTTGGAGAATCATAAAGTTTAATTTACAGCTAAAAATTACTAAATTTCCACTTATTTCAAATAATGAAAATATGTGCTTTCTTAGGGTTAATTCTCTAAGATCACATTGAAATACAATGTATTTCTTAACACAGTATAGGTTTTCTTCAGCTAGGTTTGTTACTTAAAAATTGGTCTTAAGTAACACTTCTGAATCTTTATGATATAGTTATTTTAATTTTTCAGATGTTCTTGAGTTATTTAGCAAACCTAGTAACGTGATACAGCCTCATGCTTATAGAATGCTTAACAAGCAAATAAATCTGGAGTCTCATTGTGATATTCATTGTAATTTCAGTATTGTGCCAGCTAAACAAAAATCTCCTAGACTATTTGATGATCTTGAAATATGTTCAAGATAGTGAATTTTTTTACTATTTCTAGTATTTCTAGTTATAGAAATATGTAACTAAAGTAAGTAGAACATACACTAACTTAGTATATAATTAGCTTCAGAAGGGTAATACACAAGCATTCTTCATTAGCCAAAAGGACACAGAGCTGGGATTGTCTGGAGAGTCAGCAAATAGTTGTTAGTGCAACCGGAAGTTGTGGCGTCAAGTTCTGCCATCTCATAGCTAAGCAAACTGCCGGGCATCTCCTCTCGGTCTCAGCTTTCTGAGTGTTAAAGTCACATGCTGTGTATTAGTTTGATACAAGTTGGCCATAAAAAGCCAATAAAAATACTAGTTTTTGTTCCTATGCCCTGTAGCAAAAGTCTGCCTTAATAGGTTTCAGGACAACAAATAACAGCAAAAATAGCAAAAACATTATCCCTGCCCATAAAAAGATAAATTCTTTAAAGTCGCATTCTCATAAAACTGGTTTCAAGAAGTTCAAACTCTAAAATCAGTTTTAGGTTTTCTGACTGATATGACTAAGGAACAAAATCAGATTTTAGTGTGTGGTGGCAAGGAGGGGTTACAGAGGTTAAATTAGGGAAATCCTGGTATTTTTTAGTTTGCCTTATTTGCTTGATAATATTTTCTTGTGCTTTATAAAACTGGCACTTGATAAGTTTTACACAAATTAGTTTTTTTTCTCCTTGAGGGTGATATTTTAAGCCCATCTGTAGCCACAAAAATTTCTTCCTAATGTATTTTAAATTATTTATATAAATAAGAAATTTACATAAACATATGAAAAAATAAGGCAGCTAGATTCAAACAGAAAAATCATCTAGAAAAAATGTACATAAAATCTGAAAGAGTCTGAAAATTTAGGTACATTTTTTCCCCCTATTTCATTGAACCTCTATAGCTTGGAATATTATATCTTACAAATATAACAAACTCAAATTTGGGTTTTTTCCCCCCCACGTGAACAGTTTTAAAAGTGATTTCACAATGTACAGCAGGTTGGTTAATTAGAGGAATTTATTTTTACTTTTTAAAAGATTTATTTTTATTTTATTTATTTATGCATACAAGAACTGGGGTGTAGGCCAGAGGTACAGGGCATGATAGGATTCACCAGAGACAGACTGGGGAACAGAACAGGCAGATCGACTGAAATACACTGCTGAGGGGAGCAGCGGGCGAGTCAGGCGAGGTCTGCTGCACCATGTGGGTAGCTCCCTGGCTGGAGATTGAACTCATGCTGCAGTGGCTGCTGATAGCTGGATAGTGCTGAGACTTAACCCCTTATATCACCAGGGAGGCCCAATTAGAGGAATTTATTTCACCAAATGCAGAAAATGTTTTTAAAGCCACTTCATGGTGAATTAACAATACCACATATCACCTTTACTCTCATTTCCTTTCCCCTACAAAATCATTAATGACTGGTGATGAATGGAATTGGAATCTATTCCTATCAAATAGGTTTGAAAAACAAGTAAATTAATGTTTTTGTAAAACAAAGTTTCTCCCTTGTTGATTAAACTCAATTGTAAATTGTTATTTCTATTTTGACCTCATAGTTAAACAACTTCTGTGAAAGAGAGTTGTACTGGGCTTTGGAAGCTCATCCATACATCCCATATTGAAATGAATTAAAGCCACTCAAGAATCATGATGACCCCTCTTTTATTATTATTGATGTCCAAGAGAAAGAGCATATTTTCTAAAAAGCCCTCTCCAAATCCTATTTTCGTTCCCAGAGAGCTTCTAATTATCCAAATCCATTACATTAGAGTTTAAGCTGCCTTTTTTTTAAGTTGAAGATCAAAATCTAAATAACAGTCATTTCTCTTATTGAACCCAATTGCTCAGTTGTCCTTCAGCATCTCCTCATCCAAAACAATGTCCTTGTTTTGAAATTTCAATTTCTTGCTGGACTGTGGGTGATTTGGTGGTAAATGCCCTACAGTGGCAATACCTGATGGGGGAATCCAAATATTATCTCAAAAATAAAGTGAGAAAGAAGAAATTCCAGTTTCTAAATCTCTACTCATCAGAGTGATCTTCTTTTAAACCCTCATTATTTTTTATATCCTTCTGTTTGATTAAACTTGGAACTAGAAATAGTGTTCCAGAGAAAACAAAATAAGGACCCACCAGCTCGTATGCCAGCTTTCTGACATATTTGTTCACTTTTAAAATTGTCTTGCCAGTCTACCCGACAGTTTGTTTATTATCTTTTTGTGCCCTAGGTCATAATTTAACCACTGGCACCAAAATTTATCTTTCCTAATTGGTTTTTTAAAGTTATTTTCTGTTTATTGAAACTGTTAGCAAAATGTTTTTGAGCTTGAATTTGAATCCCATTGTTTTAATCTTTACTCTTTCCCCAACTTTGAACCCGCAATCAACTTATTGAATATCCACTCCATTTTTTGAATTCCCATGTCCATAGTCATTGACATATAAAAAGTTTATATAGAAGAAATATTTTGAAATTAGTCATTTCTCCATAATATAAGCAGCATGGGTATGAGTTAAATCAACTATCATGCTGCTAATAGGACTTTTCTATTTTATTAGGAAAATCTGCCTCATGTCTCACAACAGAAGCACAGACAAGATAGTCAACAGGATATAAAATACATAAGTACAGTGATATAAAACATCTGTGTGGCAGGCAGCTGCAAACATTGGGAGGGAGCTTTTTTGGGAAAAGAAGCGTGCTGATTCTTGTTGACTTCCTTAATAATGAAGTTGAAGGGACACTGGTAGTTTTCCAGAACAAAAACTTCTCTATGTTCCCTCTGGAAGGACACTTGTAGAATAATCTAGAGTTGTGTTTTCACCTTTATAATAGTTATCATTAATATAGTCATATTTCTTCTTAACTCTTTGTAGATGTATTTGTGTTTGAAAAAGTCATTTAATTTTTTTGATATGGTTGAAACAAATGTCACAGATGATTAGATCTACTGAATTATCGTGGAACTAAGTTGTTAAGTTGACAAAAATGCCTCCCAACCCCAAAAGGAAGTTTGAGGTTTTTCATTTCAAATAGTAAGATTAATTAACTTAATTATAAACAGATTTTTTGAACAAGGCTCTAAAATTATTGTCAACTTTTGTCTTTAAAAGCCAAGTTGTATAAATCCTGACTTTGTAAAGGAGATTGTCTGTGATATCTTGCTATCACTTTCTTATGCAATGGAACTAGAGGGAGACTCAAAAAATAGGGCAGGAGTCATTGACAATGACATATAGTTATTTAGTTTTTAAAATTGAAGTCCTTCATTTTTAGAACAATGTAAAGATACTTTCATAATTTTGTAGAAAGTTGCTAGCTCAGCCCGTGAGTTGGAACATAAGAAGACTCAATTCACAGGCCCTCTGTTTGACCCTAATACAGTGTCACCTCCTTTTAAATTGATTTTGTCAGCCATGGACATACTAATGGGGAAAAAGCAAACTTAGCTTCCTTGTTTTGATTAATAAAAATATGATTAAATTTTCTTTAATATACGGCATTCTGTTTATATTATGTTTCCATGGGAACTTTCTCTGTATGTACATTCTACGATTTCCCCCAAAGAATTCAGTTATAAGAAAAATATACTTGGCAGTTAAATGAGGTAACACTTGTGGAATTTTAGAGGGTAGAGAATTGAATTAAAAGAAAAAATAGCCAGCCACACTTTGGTTCCTTAACTTGTTCATGTCAATCAAAATAGACCAAAACTTTACAGAAAATGAATGGGGAAATGATTTTCTTTTAAAAAGGAAGAAAAGGCTATCCATCATGTTGTAAGAATCCAATTCTTTTTTAAATTTAGTTTTGTTTTAATATAAAAGGATAAATAGTGTCAGATTTGAAAGAATATTTAAATACACCACGACATAAATGACCACCAAGTCCTCATTATAAGATGGATGACTCTGGGCTTTAAATTGTAGTCCGGGGTTGACCACGGCTAATTAACAATTCATACCAGACAAAAATTAAGGCGCCTATGAAACCACTAATCTGATTTAGAACAAAATCACATTATTTTATCATTGAATTTTTTTCTTAAATTTTTTTCTACCATGCCCCCACTTCTGAAGAGGCTTCCCCATTGTCACCCTCCCCCGACCAGGGCAGTGATATTGTTACAATTGAAGAACTCACATCACATATCATAGTCACTCAGTCTGTAGTTCACGCTAGAATTCACTCTGTGTTGTACTTCAGTGAATTGTACGAATGTAGAAAATGACATGCATTTACCATTACATTTACCATTATATCAGGCAGAACAATTCACTGCCTGAAGTATTAAGTTTTGATGGAGTAAATGGAACTCAAAAGTATCTAATTTTGTTTTCCAAAGACTCCTATTTTCAGGATTATTTGGACTTATAGACACAAGGGATACATACTATAGATTGCAGGTTTTATCAGGGAGATGGGACATTGCCCTTGCAACTAGCATTAAATCATACCGGATATAGCAAAACAATGATCACTGTTTTTCTTGGAACACTTCCTTCTGAGTTAAGAGGCAATACGTTTCTAATTTTTGAAAATACAATTTTTTAAAAAGCAAAATCTTTGTGTGCTAGATTGCTGCATGTTCCCTATGTTGAGAAGATCTCTTGTCTGCTATGCTGTCTCTTTTTCAAACAATTTAAATTTCTTTGAACAAGCCAGATCTTTCCTGTAAATCTGGAGGCATTATAATGTAGCATTTTATGATAACATGTTACTTTTTATTGCCTGAGTCCATCTTTCAGGATTGTTTGCAGTGTTTGGAATTACACATCTAAAATATATCATGTAGGTACTTAACTTCCTGTTCTACTTTGTGATTCCTGCTAAAGTAAGTTTGGAGCCCACATTCTTAAAAGCTGCATACATAGTGTGTAGAACATAGAGCAAAATGTAGAAGTATAACAAATGCACAGCAGCCTCTGCCAGAAACATTTTATAATTTATTGGAAAGAAGGTTTCAGAGTTGAAAGGGAGACCAAGACAAATGTCCAACACCTGGAATGAAGAGAAGAGCAGTATTAAAAGTTTAATATCCTGTTTTTATTAAAGCCTCCACATTATGGACAATGTGACAGTTTATATGTAACTCAGTTATATTTGATGTGGCTTTTTGTTTTTCTGCAATCTGAGGCACTCCCTCTCCCCTGAGACACAAAGGAATAAGGAAAAAGCTAGAGGTTGGGTACAGGAGCTTCCAGAAAAGTTGCACTAAGTTCTTCCTCTAGTCTTCAAATTGTTGCTATAGTTTCTGATAAATAAAACCTAGCTACTGTTTTCTAACTTTGTACTCATATTGTTTGAACTTCATTTCTTAAAGCTATATGATGTTCATCTTCTTAACAGTCACTAGGACAGTCATTCATACCTATGGGTAAAAGCAGTTATAACCCTTACAATTCAAAACAAGTGATCAATTTGTGTCTATTAAATGTTCAATGGTCTGTCTTTGGATTAATTTAAGTATCCTTTTTAGAATCCCTTCCATCACAAAACACCTTTGGCTCACCAAAAAATACACAGCAGCATTTAACAGACACTGGACGTACAACAATTTTATTAGTGACTTGTCTAATCAACTCTTTGAAATTATTTTTCTAGCTAAACAGAATATATCAGAGGCTACAACCATCGAACTGAATATCCTCGCAGAAACTGCATCACCCAGTTTATCCAAGGAACTGGTACCTGACAGAACTACACCAATCATCCCTTTAGTCACTGAGTTACCTCTCATTACAACAGAGTTCCCGCCTGTGGGAAATATAGTCAATGTTGAACAGAAAGCCACAGTTCAAACTCAATCTCTCACACATAGAGTAGCCACTGAGTCACCTACACCTGCTGGGAGGACCAAGGAGCCTTTAGATATGAGCTACTACTCACCTTTTACTTCAGAACCACTTGAAAAGCCAGACATATCTAAAATTGAGGAAGAAGTATCCCAAGTAACAGCTGTCATCTCCCATCATGATACTGAGTCATGGGATGGTGTCATAGAAGATGTACAAACACGAGAATCAGTTACACAAATTGAACAGATAGAAGTGGGTCCGTTGGTAACAACATCTATGGCGTTCTCTGCAACTGAAACACCATTTGTTTCTACAACTATGGTCCTGGAATCCAAAACTGAAAAGAAAACAGTAAGCAGTATTCCTGAATCAGTGACCACAAATCATTATAGTTTCACTCTGGGAGAAGATGAGGGCAATAATAGAACATTTACAGATAGATCTAGTCAAAGCACCCTGACATTTAGCCAAATTCCAGAAGTCCTTACAGTGTCAAAGACATCAGAGGACATCACCTCCACTCCGCTAGAACATGCAGACTCAGTCTCGGTATCCACTGCTGTTTCTCCGGTGACACTGCCTGACAGTGAAGCGTCATCCATGGAGAGCTGGGAAGATACACAAACGAATGGTAGGATAACTGAAAATATCTCTGACCAGTATGTGTCCGTCACACCTTTCCCAACACAGCTACATACAGAAGTAGAATTGTTGCCTTTTTCTGTTGATAAAAAATTAGTTGAGGGGTTATCCACAGTTGTTTATCCCTCTCTAGAAATAGAAATGACAGAAGAAAAAGAAAGAACAGAAACAGAAACAAGAGTGGCGGTGGAAGACTTTACAGCTCCAGCTGGATCAGAAACAGAAGGCTATGAAGATATTACGAAGTCTGGGGAAGGCATAACAACTGTGCACTTGACCCACAGTACTTTAGATGTGGAGGTGGTCACCGTATCAAAATGGTCATGGGACAAAGATAATATGACATCAAAGCTCTTAGGGCCCACAGAACATACAGTTTCTCCGAAACTGCCCCCTGCCTCACACACAACTATGGGAGTTAGTGAAAAAGATGAAGAAATCCCAAGTTTTACTGAAGATGGAGGAGATGAATTTACTCTTATCCCAGATAGTGCACAAAAACCACTGGAGGAATTTACTGAGGAAGAAACAACAGACCTTCGGAAGTTCACAGTTAGATTTCAGCCAACTACATCAATTGGTGTTGCAGAGAAGTCAACTGTGAGAGAGACTACAAGTGAAGAAAGAGTTTCACCTGTTACAAGCACAGAGGGCAGAGTTGTTTCTGCAACCATAGAAGGGAGTGCTTGGGATGAAGAAGGTGTGGATGTCTCTAAGCCCTTACCAACTCTTTCCCAGTTTGCACACACTTCAGATGTAGAAGGATTGGCATTTATTAATTACAGTAGCACTCAGGAGCCTCATACCATTTCTATCACTGTCATTCCCAAGACAGAATGGGGAGTGTTGGTACCTTCTGTTCCATCGGAAGGTGAAGTTCTAGGTGAGCCCTCTCAAGACATAGGTGTCATTGACCAGACTCAGCTTGAAGCAACTATTACTCCTGAAACTATAAGAGCAACAATAGAGATTAAGCAAGAGACAACTCAAGAAGAATTCTCTCAGAAAGAACAGACTCCGGAGAAACCAGTTCCTGCTCTCAGTTCTACAGTTAGCACAGCCGAGGAATCAAGGTCACCTTTGGATGAACAAGAGGGTGATGGGTCAGCATATACAATCTCTGAAGACATATTGGTGACAAGTTCTAAGAGAATCCCAGGTTTGGAAACAACTCCGATTGGAAAAATTGAGCACAGTGTATCTTATCCACCTGGTGCTGTCACTGAGCACAAAGAGGAAATAGATGAAGGGGTGACACTCACATCAGGTATGGGGCCAGTGGTCTCTTTAAGTCCAGAGCCTGAACAAGAACGTGACACAGAAGGCACTATTCCATCACGTTTGAGCACCAGCATTACCCAGCTTATCGAGGAAACCACTTCTGACAAAAGAGAGAAAACATCCCTAGATTATATTGATTTCGGTTCAGGATTATTTGAAAAGCCCCAAACCACAGAATTGTCAACAATTAAAGCCACCATTCCAAGTGATGTCACTGCTGCCTTCAGTTCTGTAGAAAGACTTCACACAACTTCGGCACTCAAGCCATCTTCAGCACCCACTGAAAAACCTCCTCTCATTGACAGGGAACCGGGGGAAGAAACAACCAGTGACATGGTAATCATTGGAGAATCAACATCCCCTGTTCCTCCCACTACCCTTGATGATATTGTAGCCAAGGAAACAGAAACTGACATTGATAGAGAGTATTTCACAACATCAAGTATTCCTGCTACACAGTCAACAAGACCACCCATTATAGAAGACAAAGAGGCCTTCAGTCCTCAGACACTTTCTACTACAGAACCCCCGACGGGGACAAAGTTCCGTCCTGATATTAATGTGTATATTATTGAGGTCAGAGAAAATAAGACAGGTAAGTCTTTGCTTTCTAGACATACCAGTCAAGGCAATCAGCATTTTATCTTGAAAATTACTTTTGGAAAAAAAATCAACATATCAAATGCTGCCATTAGAAGATAACTGGAGTGTGAAAAATTCTATGCTTTAGCTTCATATATTTGTACAAGAATTGGAAGAATTTGTTAAACAATTTGGAAGAATATTAGATACAATGTTATTTTAAAAGTCATAAGAAGCCCTGCTTTGTCATCTAATATAACCAAATCATCACTGTTACATCACTTCTGAACATGCCGAGAAAGTGTTTTAATTTCAGTGTCTTTCCATGCATTACTACTCAAGTGTAGTACTAGACTGTGTTAACATTCCATTGGTCTTTAACTATTAACCTTCAGTACTTACACTGTGGACAGCTAAAACCGAATTGCATATACTTAGGGCTAATAGAAAGACATCTAAAGGTTTGCTTTGGTTTTTCTCTTGCAGGTTTTTAATAGGTTTATATACCACTTGTGGGTGGGTAAGAGGTCTATATAGTTTAAGTTATCTGAATGCACGTTCGAGATTTTTTTTTAAGTTTTTGTCCTTGTGTATTTTGATGAAGCTTTGAATATTTAGAACAAATACAGTCTAACTCAGTTTCAGGAAATGCTATGCAGTATAATTTTAGGTGGAAATGTCAGCATTATCTCTGTTCCTGAAAACAAGGTTGTGATGCTATTTATTTTATAATTTAATTCTTTTATCTCTAGGAATATTTGCAATGTTGTGTATTCTGCTCAAATATGTTATGTATTTCCCTGGCAAAATTCTTAAAAGCTGTTTTTTTAATAATCCTCAGTACCAAACATTACTATAACATTTCTTCTTAAACGTGGGACCACACCATTTTTTTTTTTTTAATTTGGTAAACTGAGTTGGTAATATCGGACCTGGGTAGTTAGAAAAATCAAGTCAGATTTGTTTGTCTCTGTTAAATTTAGACGTTAGGATTGTTGATTTTAGCTAAGTTGTTATATTTTAGTTTTAATATGAGAAGTCAATGAAGAAATGTGCATTTTTCCTTGTTCTGGCTCTGAAAGTCAAGCTAGAAGAGTGTTTTTTAAGCAGATTATCTCTACCTGGTGGGATAGCTCCCCCAGGCTGTCATTTTTTTTTTAAGAGTGATGGTGTCCTAGTTACAGCGTTCAGGGGTGCACCTCTTGGAAACAATCAGGCAGGTCTTTTGTCAAGTCAGTGGACTGTAGCGCTATAGGTGGAAACTCCACAGTTTCTGTGGATTCTACAGTGAATGGTAGAAAAAGAATATATTTCAAGTATTGAAGTTAATCTTCACTTTCAATATTATCGTAAGAAGCCAGGATTAGAGCATTATTTTCTCACTAATTATGCTGTTTCTTGGAAACCATAACATATTTCCTCTCACTTACATTTCTTTCCACCTCTTGAAACTGGAGTTGGAGAATGAAGGCAGTTGCCAAGTAGTGGGAAGGAGCATTGCAGTTACTAGAGTTTCCACAGGGCCAAGAAGATATTACTATGAGAAAGAAAAGAAAAATAAAAAGAAGTGAAAAGAAATTACTACCAATAATACGTAGCTTGAGAATTTAAAAATTACTTGAATGACTGTGCAGAAGTTTTTCCCAATTTAGATTCTCTTGTTAATGTGAATACTAAATTGAACTGAGTAATATAGAAAACAGTAAAAAATGTTCTGCATTTAAAAAAAAAAAAACCCTCTTCTAAATGGGAAACTGTGTGTCAAGTTCAGGGTGATCAAATTACAAAATGGAAATAGTGAAACTTGATCTTCATGAAAGATGTGGCAGGCATCAGAAATAAAAATCATAAATTTATAAATGATTACTTGGAAGGGAGCATCTGAGTAACCTAATCTAGAGACCAAGGTGCACGTTTACATTTGAGTTGTCAGTTTAATTCAACTGGGTCTGGGAGATATGACTAGGTGTTACCTTCTTTTCCTTCCGCTTTTAAAACTTGGGACCATGACTCAACTTCTAACTAGTTTTTGTTCAGCATTAAGAACAATAGGTCAGAGAACTCTGTGGAAACAGCATACTTGATATCTCCATGAGGACAGGACTCCAGTGTGTATTTATGGGTGTGTGGCAGTGTGATGAGGGATGAGGGGTGTTGGTGGTGGGGGGAGACATGGAGCGTGTATCTCTATCTAGTTACCTCCACATCATCCATATCAACCTCTCTCCAGTTTTCCTTTCGTTTCTTTCTCTGATCATCATCTTATTCTGTGCTTTACATATGCTTTATATAACCAGTATAAAGCACTGGTTATCATCTTGATAAGACAATGAGAGGTTTACTCAGATCCAGCTGTTTAGTTATGCTAATTTTATGTGTTTTAAAAGAAACTGAATTTTTCAGGCATTTAAAACTTTGGCAATGGAAAACTCTAAAGCAGATGTTAAATTAATGAGTTCTAAAGCAGGTGCTCGCATTAATAAGGAAAAAATACACATGTGCTTGGAAAACCAACATTTTTAAGTATCAAGGAACATTTTTCCAGACTGGAAAATCCTTAGTACATGTATGAACTTGTATAAATCTATTTACAGACATAGAATCTATCTCTACACATTCAAGTAAGCAAAAATACCACCCATGCTACAATCAACCAAAGCATTCTTCTTTTTTTTTGGCAGCACTCAGCAAGTCATGTAAATCTTGATTTTTTTTTTTTTACTACTGTGAAACAAAACATGCTACTCAGGACATGTTTATGTTAGATTTGCTCAAATGGGTCTTAATAACAACTTAGGGTGCTATTGCTGGAGGGCAACTGTAGTTAGTAGTTTAAAAAAATCTGAAGGAACTTTTCAGCTCATAAAACGTTTATGAGCTGAAAAATGCTATAGGGTGTGCTTAACAGTGGGTCAGGGGATACTGAAAACATGACTCCTGTCTATTTCAGGAGTAATTTGCACACCTGCATTTTGAAAATTTATTGAAAGGTTTTCTTTGTAGATGTGTATGAAGTCTACTGGGTTTAAAGGTGTAGGAAGAGTTTCTTTAATTCTGGACTTTTTATTTTAATACACTACTCTAAATCATCTGAAATGTCACAAATGAGTGTGACAGAATTGTGAATGTTTTAAAAGGTATATATTGGGATTTTTAAATCAAATTAAAATTTCAAAATACAGATATTAAACGCAAATATGACTATGCAAATGCTCTGAATTATAATCTTAAATAGGTGGCTTATTAATTTATTTATTATTATTTTGAAGATTTATTTTATTTATTTATGCATACAAGAGCTGGGGTATAGGCCAGAGGTGTGGTTGGGGGTGGTGAGGATTCACCAGAGACAGAGTGGGGAGCAGAACAGGCAGATCTACTGAAACACATTGCTGAGGGGAGCAGCGGGTGAGACAGGAGAGGTCTGTTGTGCCAAGTAGGTCAGCTCCCTGGCCAGGGATCGAACTCGTGCTGAAGTGGTTGCTGATAGCCCCATAGTAATGAGACTCAACCGCTTGTGCCACCAGGGAGGCCCCTATTCATCTTTTTTTAAACAAGTTCATATAAACTACATGCTTTTGGCAGTCTGGCTTGATGTTACTTATTTTGACAGGTGTTCTAAGTAAAAGGCAGATATAAAGCCTATATTAAACCCTATCTTAATATTAATATTAAGATATTGATAAAATGATTAATGTAATATTAAAGATTATGGTAGATTTTTGAGAAAGATAATGAATTTTAACAGCAGTCTGAAAAAGCTAATTTTGGCCTCTAATTTAGCATTCATTTTGCTTGGTCTCCTTATTGAGAATTGTGGTACCTTATTGTTTACTTCATTCAGAAATAACTCCAATATAAATGACCCCTTCTGCACTTTTGTCTGTATATTGCAAGAAAGCGTGAAAGGTTTGTTCTCTGAATATGATTGTGTTAAAGACAGGGAAAAGAGTAAAGGTTGTTGGTTTTGGGCAAATAACAATATTTATTATTCAAATGGGGGCACTGTCACAATTTTTAAAAACTAATGTCACATAGTTTTAACATAGTCACATAGTTTTAAAAATCACATATTCCCATCTTTATAGAATTATTTATATAAACATACTTTAAGATTATTTATTGTAGAATCAGACCCCTTTCTTCAAATAAACTTTTTTCAAGGTTTCCATATTTTGAGCAGATAAGAGAGTATTTGTTCTGGTTAATGTTTGAAAGAGGAGATCAGGAGCCCCATTTTTGTGGCACTTCCCCCTTACTCCCTGTGGAAGTTTCTAAAGTAGCATTTGTCTCCTAGAAAAAGAATCAGAGACAGTTACTCATTCCTGAGTGAGTACATTTTGGGGGCATAAATATTTTTAAAATTGGTCTGAATATCAATACCTTATCTCATATTGATAATTCATGTTATTAACATTTTCCTTTCCATAACTGTGGGATGTTGAATGAAGCAAATCAAGCTAATCTAGTTTTAATCGTATTGATGCTAATGTGTAATCAAGATAACATGCATTACACTTTGGAGAATTATATATATGTGCAGAGCTAAATCATCATCAAGCTCACACTTTTGAGTTTGATCTTTCAGACACTTTTTATATATATCATCAGGTTTAAACCTCAAAGATAATTTGTGAGACAATGAAGGAAAGTATTGCCAATGGGCAAATAGAGACACACGTGTTCTAATTTTGTTGGCACTGGGTCTAAAATTCTTGGCACTCCCTGGAGCATTTCTGCAGTGAGGTGATGGTTTCCCCTGATGAACTTACAGCAATAATGACATCCTATTGGCTCAGGGGCTGCCCTATCCATCAAGTCCTGAAAGAACATAGACTGTGGAAACACTGACTTCTCATTGGCACCTATTGTTTTTTTAAGAATGGATAATTTAGGTTTAGTTTGCTGCTCACTCTGGGCACAATGCTTGTTATTCAGATACCTGCTGTGGCAAGGTAGCCCTGGTTCTGTCTGTTTCTTTCCTGCAGGCTTTGGAGCACATCCCTGGTTGTG